ATGTTTCTTAGCAGGCTCAGACCGATGTTAGTATTCCTATGCACGTGGCACAATAGGTGCGATTTTGTGTTCATAAAAATGACACTAAAGCCGTTAATGATGTTATTCGCTCTTCACTTCACTTTCCCTAGTCGCTTATCCTTCCGGATCGCAGTTGCAGGCGCGTCAGACAGTGCTGCAAACGTTTCTGATCCTTTGCCAGAGTCTGAGCTTCGGCAGAAGATAGCTGGAGTCTGGATCAGACTCCTTCCTTATATTGGCACCAGGTTACTCTTGGCTGTCCCCTGCGACTTCCGCCGGTCGGTTTCGCAAGAAAGAGTTGCTTCGACTTCCTTTCTGGAGACGTTCGCAGCACGTGCCCAAGCCACTGCAGCTGTGACTTCTCATTCTGGAGAATCAAAGGCTTTACACCAAGGCTCTTCCGAGTGTCAGTGTCCCGGACCACGTCGAGACGGGTAAGGCCAGCGACGCGTCTAACAAAGCCCATTTCAGCAGCTTGTACCCGGGTTCGAAGCTTCTGTCATGGTCCTTGATTCATGACCGAGGGTAAGCATGCGGATAAAGATCGACTTGAACACCGAAAGCTTAGTTTCCAGACTGAGCTCTGCTTTAGTCGCGGTGGATCAGACTATTTCACGCAGAACGCCACTGGCTATTCCAGTTCACCGGTCGATCTCTTCCTCCAATTTTCCATCGCTAATAAATACAATTCCGAGGTACTTGACCTTTTCCACCTGCTCCGCTCTCCGTTAATCTATACAGAGCAATGGGCAGGAGAATGAGAAAGCACTAGGCTTTTCATTTTAGATGCGTTTACACGCATGCCGGTCACATCGCATATGGCTGCGAACCTTTCTATGGAGCAATGAAGATCAGTTTCAGAAGATGCTAACAAAACAAGGTCGTCTGCAAACAGCAACATTCTTGACTTCACATCTGCTACACCGATACCGATACCTTCACAGCTCCTGACTATTCTATGCATCTGCAACACAAACACGATAGGGAACGAGACGCAGCCTTGGCGGAGACCAGTACGATCGTAGAATGGTTTCGGTTTAACGCCAATAACTCTGACACAGAACTACTATCAGAATACAGTGATTGGATGGCCCTTAGCATCCATTCCGTATGCACGAAGGCATGTCCACAAATTTTTGCGTGGAATCCGGTCATAGGCTTTTTCTAGGTCCGCGAAACACATCTACATCAGACGGGCGTACTCCT